TGATCACATCCAGATGAAACAGTGTGAGGTATGTGAAAGAAAGCCAAGAAACCTTGGGGTGGGGAAACTCCTTCCTGGCTCTTATATGACCAGTTTACACTCATATTGCCCTGAGGGTAGGAAGGAGGGTCGCAGAAATACTAAAGGAGACCAATGAGGGCCAGCTCAGCCTTAAATAGGTTGCTGCTCTGCTCCTGGTCACGTGATTGGGGGTAGTGAAGCCAGACAACTCCAACAAATGCTGATCTCCTTTACAAGGGCCTTCAAATACCTCCCGACTCTTAGGCTTCACCTGCTGGCTATACATGGACCTTGTCTCAAGGTTATAATACTATCTCAGTTTTTTAAATCTAATGCTTCCCTAGCATTTTCCTGTACCTACCAATACAATTATTCTCTAAAGGACTGTTAACTTCAGCTATACTTCAGTAGATGTGTTCTTGGGCAATAATACTTGAACACAGAAGAAATAATTAACATTCAGCTGGATTCCTACACCAGCCGCACACACAAAAAGAGCAGTTCAAACTTTTTCAGCAGGCCTTTTATTCAAGTTTACAATATCTATATGTGAAGTGAACAACCAGGTCAAGCAAGTTGTTCATATGTTAACATAAACATTTTGAAACTTTTAGAGATCACTTAAACATCTTCTTCCAAAATGCCTCCAGGAAAATGCGAGGAGGAGGGGAAGGAGGATTTATCAGCCTACACAGAAGAAATAACAAGTAACCTTAAATGTGACAAAGCAGGCAGAAATGGTGGGCTGTGAGTGAATTCACAGAGATGACATCTTGAAAAACCAAAGTGACAGGTGGTCCATCTGGTCTTCTTGAGCATGTTCCCTAAGTACACCATACATGGGTAATGGATAGCAAGCTCACCTAAAAAGAGTAGGTAGGAGAGACACATCATCCCAAAACTGATGACAGAATAACCACTACTGCAAAAAAAAAAATGCAAAGTATGATTTTATTGCAAAAGAAGTTTCTTTCTTGTGTAAAGAAATCGTTTTTATACCCCCCTTCCTATAATATACCCTCCTATAATACACCATTGTGTACTATTAACAACAATAAAACACAATGAGCTTTTTTAATGCACTGAGATGGGGTTTCTTGTCATGAATGAGAAATTTTGATATTATTTTTACATCGCTAATATAGGCACTACAATCAAGATCAGGAGCATATAGCAAAAGGTAAAATCTTAACATCCCCATAATCCCATCACAGAATCCAATAGCAATTCTGAGCTTACTTTCGATTTTTTTTAAACAAAAGAAGATAATCAATAGAGGTGTGCAATTTGGCGAAACCCTGTGCCATTTTCAGTGTTGAGATTTCAGTGGACCCCCAATCCATTTTTTGGGAGCCTTCCGAATTTGAGCAGGCAAAATTCCATTCATTTTATCTGGCAACTGAAAGATCCATTTTTGCTCCTGGAAGATCCGGCCATTGGCAGCAATAGAGGAACTTCCCAGGCTCCCTTTCCGTCATTTTTCAGGCATCGGTCTTAAGAAACCACTTTTTCTGGGACCATTTCTCCTCATATTCTTCAATAACACCTGGTTTTAAAGCATCAGACTTAAGAAACCACCCTTTCTGGGATCCTTTCTCCTTATATTCCTCAATAATACCTGGGTTGAAGGCATCAGACTTTTAAAAACCACTTTTTCTGACACTGTTTATCCTCAACACCCTTTCAATGAAGCTGAGTTTAGACACCCTTTCAAAGCACTTATTTCAGTAGGAGTAATACCATGTGTAGGAGCATTAGCATTATTATCTTTGAAAATGAAATAAATTATCTTCTCATTTTATGCTGGCTTTAGAAGTGGCAAGATACCTCTCCCTCACATTTGAAGCTTGCTTCATGTGAAGGCCACAATTGGGGGCAGTTTCTTAAGTGTGTAGAATGTAAATGTTCATTTATTGCTATTTGAGTTAAAAAGCAATGCAAGATATGAAGAAGAGCTGTGCTTGGCACTGAGAATTTAGATCACCAGAAGACTGAGGCATGATCTATCTCTCTCAGAAGCATGTTCACAACAGAAAAATGGAGGCCCAGTTTGCCTAAAAGACATGTTTTTCTTAATCCCACTCTAAAATGGTTTAGACCAGTGGCCTCAACCTAATCTTATCCATGAATTTATATGGCTCATGAACCCAAGTAAACTCTTCCTTTCCAAGGGGAACACACATCTTCTATATTGTGGAATTGCTGAACAGGTGAAAGTATATTTCCCAAGTATTTTTTAAACTGAAGGCCTAAATAACAGCACAGAGAAAATTTCAACTAGTGAATTATATACTAGTGCTGTACAAAGCTTCAGGTGTCTTTGTAATTTATATGACTTGTTGATATAAATCTATGATTTAGTAATCAGAATGGGACTCCTCCAAAGCATTATGAAATGCAATAGAAGCCTCCAAAATGTTTCAGAGAGATCAGTAGAGATTTGTTGGTTCAGAAAATTTCAAACTGTAGGATTTTTAAAAAAAATTCCTAAAACTCAGTGGATGACCAATCTTTCCGAAACTTTGGAGAATTGATGCCCTGCTTATACGTATTGTGTCGCTGTGCAAAAATCCAAGGAGATATCTCTTGTAGTTTTTTTAATTATTTGTTAAAAACTAAGAAATGTCCTAAAAATTAGCAGAAGACTAAAATGTTCTGGAACTTGGCAGGCTTAAAGTTGTAAATAAGTGTGCCAAGTTTCATTCTGATAGCAATAAAAATGACAAAAAAAAACAACCCTCAAAATTTTCACCATTGCAGCTAATGGAAGAAATCTTAGTAAAACAATTTTTAATCAGAATGGGACCTCACAGTAGTCTCACTGAACTACCAATCCCAAGACTCTATAGCACTGATCCATAGCAGTTAGTGTCACACTGTATTAATTCTATAATGTAGATTCGCCCTCAGTGGAAACAGCCTGGTTATGAATGTTTTTTCATTAGAAATCAGACTGTCCTCTATATCCTTCAAGCACCATTGCAAACATGAAGACTTGAGGGCAATAATGCAGATGATTGATTTGTCTTTGCTACTTTCTGAATGGCTTTTAAGGGATTTCTTTTAGTAAATAAATATAAAAATATATGTATATTATGTTGTTGTTCATTCGTTCAGTCGTCTCCGACTCTTCGTGACCTCATGGACCAGCCCACGCCAGAGCTCCCTGTCGGCCGTCACCACCCCCAGCTCCTTCAAGGTCAGTCCAGTCACTTCAAGGATGCCATCCATCCATCTTGCCTATCCATCTTGTATATTATAGACATATACATTTCCAAATTCTTTTTCTTTGTGATTTCAAGTATCTTAAGTAATCTGAAATTCCAGCTGTGTTTTTATTTTTTCAAAATTGTTAACTGGTCTGAGCAGTTTTGATGAAGGGTGAGTTATCAATCAATCAATCATTCATTCGTTCATTATTGGTAGAGTTAACAGTTCAGAGATTGGTGTGCTATAATTCCTTTGTGAACATTAAAAGCAAACAATTTCCTACCAGTGCTGAAATCACTTGAACCAGTTAATACAATCGTAACATTTATTCAAGGGAGAAAATTACACTATTTCATGTGCTGAGAGCATGCCAAGGAGAAAAAACAACAACAGCGCCATATGGCTTATCATGATGCTTCCTGCAGGTTTAACAAAACACTAGCATTTAAACTGTATGTGCTGTTTAGAGATGACAAAAATTAAGAGTACCAGAGTGTGTCTTTTTCTAAAAATGTTTTCTCCTCTTAGGAATTATGGAAAAATCTGTTCTTGGCAAATTGTGTTATGAACTGACATGATCTACACCTCCCAGGCTAATATTCAGATGATAATCTAGCAGATTTCACAATTATTATTTTTTTAATGCATGTCTTGGGTCAACTGACAGGCAAAATAAAAATAGAAATACGCTTATTCTAGAAAAGTGATATGATTAGAAATCTGTAATTTTGAGATGACGTATTTATGGATGGTGAATGTGTATTAGGCTGACCCTTTCAGGAGCTATCCAGAGTGATGAACCTAATCAGATGATAGAGCCAAGTAGTTTTAGTAGCTCTTACAAACTTTGCATTAAAGGCTGGAGTGGATTCACAACCCTATTGAAGTGAAATGTATCACCTGCCAATGGAAATGCACATTTTTCTTCTTCACTTTTCAGAGTGGAGTGAACAATATATGAAAATACCTATTTTTTCAGGATTTGGGACCTACATTGTATGAATCCTTTCAAGGGAATTAGAATACCCACCAACCTTTAAAATGTTGTGGTACACTTCCACAAAATATTTAGCTTTAAAAAGATGTTCTTTGGGCTGAAACCACACATTCCGGTACACTTCCCAACGTACCCCCCCCCCCCCAACCCCACAAAAAGAACCATATAAGATTATACCCCATCACTTCCAGGCAGCAAAAGGGTGACTACAAAACAAGGCTATGACTTTCTGAAGCTCCGACTGAGACTAAAATCAGGCAGGTCCAGAGTATGTTCAACCACTGTATTAAATAAATGGAATTGGCATATTGACTTGCCATTCAGGAACTGATTCAATGGGTTTGCTCTAGTTGGGACTAGCCACTGGATTTGGGCCAAATTGGGCCTATATAGTTCTGTGAATAGCAGTAGAAATTATTTAATGGTGCATTTCACTGGCCCTTCTCTGAGAACATTACCACTAAAGTGTGTCTTTTCAGAGAACGGTGGTTTTATTTCTGTGTGCTTTCCACTCTGCTTTTAGGTACACTTACAATTCTGTGTTGATGTTATTTTCTGTGTGGCTCATCACTGCAATAAATTGTCAGTGTTTTAAATGGAGTAGTGAAGCGTAGAGACTGTAGTTAGCAGCTTTCGTCTCCTTTATGCAGCCAAATAGAAGGAAATGAACTGTTATAGTCCACTGGGTTAGTAAGAGCTCTACATTTTCCTTGCCAAACCAGTGGAGTGGAAAGGCCCAGAGGTCTAAGCTAAATACACTTTTTAACTTCAGAAGGAAGGGAACCCTGGAAAACGCACGCAAGAGGCTTCAGTGTTTGCATTATAATATAAGGTAAACAAACATATTACCTACAGGAAGGTTTTTTTTTTTGTATTCTGTATAGCAAAGAAAAGAATTGTGAAGCTCTACATGCTTGCCAAGGTAAATTTCAACCGTTTGTCATGAACAGGAGTGTTGGCAGATGGAAGCACTGTCTTGTAGATTCAGCCAATATTACCTAAGGAAACCTTCTACTGTTGACTTTGGTCATTATAAAATTTGCTGCTTTGGGGGAAAGTGTTGTGAACATTTAAAGAAGAAAAAAGAAGAAAAGTTTTGAAAGACAGGAAATAATTATTCAAAATGGAAAATGCGGAAACAATTTTGGTAATCAATAGCCAGAACCCAGGGAGATCAGGGTGAAATAGTTAAAATGTATTCAAACTAGTTTGAGAACTATTGATTTGACTCTACTCTGGCAAAGCAGTTCTCTTTTGAGTCATTTGGGGATAATTATTCTGTCTTTCAGGAGACTGCATTGTTTGAAAAAGAGAGCAAACTGAATACAGCATTCTTCCCACCCCCAATTAATTGTATTGCCATCTAATACTATGTGGGAAGGTATGTGTGATTTTCTTTTTATCATTTGTTCGGTATTCAAGAAAGAAGAATGATTGAAAGTGGGTGGCTCTTGACAATTTCCAAGTAGGCTTAGTCTCTTACTTTGAACTTAATGTGTTTATATAAGCTCAGATAAGTGTTTGGTTATCAGGGGCATCCCTGAAAATGTTGACACAGATGGAATGACTAAAACTCTTCCTTTTCTGCTTACCATCTAAAAAGATAGTTCCCAGTAATGCTTACTTACAAGACATTTAGAATGCTTTTTTGACATGAGAAACTAGGGTATTATGTTAGACTTGTTCTTTCACTACAGAAATAAGACCTGAATGGGTTATACTGTTCAAAAGTATGTTTTGTTGATACATGAATGGGACAAAGACCAACAAAGTGATGATGCAAGAATAAGAAAACAAGGCCCCTGGGTATGACAGGTGAGGAAAAGAGCAGAAAGTGGAAGTAGAAGCCACAATTAATTTGTGTATATATTATTGAACTGAGTGTCAGAAAGGCTTGTTTATGTAGTCTTCTCTCTAGAAACAGGAAATGCTCTGTATTTCCAATGTGAATACAATAATCAATTTGAAAATATTGCACACATCTATGTGACATATGCAATTTGGCCCTAAAGTCCAAAACACCAATGTAGTTTTGTGTGTTTTTGCCTTGCTATAGTCAAACTGAGGCTTTGTTCAAGATTCATGCGGACCTAATTCATAAAAGGGAATTCTTACTTTGCTTTGAGCACATCAGAAGCAATCCCAAGGGCCCTGGGTTACCTTACTTTGGGCTTTCTCCAAATCCAGAGCGCATCCCCGCTTAAGAATCTAACCATTGCAATCACATTCTACTTCGTTCAGTTTTAAAATATCAGTTTGACATTGTGGCTCATTCTGCTCCAATCATGAGTAAAGGATAAAACCTGACCATTAGAGATGATCACAAAAGCAAGTGAAGAGAGCTTTAACAAAATCCAGGCATCTCTTTTACAGCATCTTTTATTGCTGGCATCAAACTCTAAGGTGATTCATTTGCTCACACCTTGATGTGTATCTGAGAAACTTTCACTGCAATTGGCAGCAGCTAGCTTTCATGATAATTGAAGGTAGCATCTAAGAATAAAGAAAAATATATGCAGCAGTAGATTAAACAGGAGTTATAATTAATGATTCACTCAACTATTTCCAGTAGCATTCAGGCAACAACACTGTAACAAATAGTTTCAAGAAATGGGCCAAGGAGAGATTAAGGTTTGATGTTTGTTTATTTTTTTAAAAAAAAACATGCAAACAAAATTATCATCAATATTTAAAATATCCAACTTCAAAGAACAGCCCACTGTAATATGAAAAGGACTGAAACTTCAGTCCTGCCAACAGTGATATAGAATGTGTTGTATCAAATTCAGCGCTTGATCTTCTGTAGAAACAGGCTGTACAACATATGTCTTCTGTATCTCTAATGCTTTTTTATATGATGTTTATTTTGGATGGCTGAAATGCTGTAGGGAATTTTTCTCTTTGTAATACAATATGTATATGTGAGAGTTAGAAGTGAGCATTTCTGCAACATTCAGTAGAGTTGTTGTTATGATATTGTGTATCATAGCTGGTAAAGGAACCTTGTGCAATGGGACCAATGACAACCGATACTCTTCCTCGTGTGCCATTACACATTTTGCTAGTCACTAACAGAGTTTCTTAGCATTTCTGCTATTTAGCTAAGTAGTTGCCTTGAGTCCCTATATCAGGAGAAAGATATAAGAGTACATACAGCTACATTAAGTAAAATTCTGGAATATATTTTTTAATTAATTCTCAGAGGTCTGATAGGGAAAAGGAGAGATGACAAAATAATGACATACAGTCCATTACATAGGTCAAAATGGCTCACAATGCCTTTACTGTCTCTAAAGAAATTAAAAATTAGAATATCCTTTGGGGAATCTAAGCTTCCATAGAAGGCATCAGTGGAAGCCTTCAGTAGAAAATACTCTAATGCGAAAAAAATGAAGTCAATTTGAATATTCCAGGCCTAACTAAATACTATGCAGGTTTTTTGGACTTCCATCCACTCCCCTCACTTTGAAGCATTATGTTCTACTTGAAAATCTACCCTGGAGGCGGCAAAGGGAGTAGGCAGCAGGCACCTCCATTAGATATTTATGGAGTGTAGTGGAGTCTCCTTCTCTGGAGGTGTTTAAACAGAGTCTGGATAGCTATCTGACAGGAGTGCTTTCACTGTATTATCTTATATAGCTGGGATTTGACTGGGTGGCCCTTGTGGTCTCTTCCAACTTTATTATTCTTTTATTAGTTTTAATATCTATATTTAAAGATGATAGAACACAGTACCTATTGCTGATTTTCATTGATGGAAGCATTTAAGAAATACTTAAACCATACTTAAAGACAGTGTGGCCTGTCATTTTAATTGACTCAGTGAGGAAATAGTGGGGTGAATGCCAACTGTAAGTGACAGAACTAGAGAATCACCACCTTCCTCAGCCATTATAAGCTGCTTGTAGTAAAAAATGTAATTGTCAGAAAGAAGAAATTAATCTATTGTTCTTTTGTTGTCTGGCTCTTGGCTGGGCAAATCCACTCACAGGAATATTATCACTGAACTGTCTTTTAGAAGTTATTGTCAATCAAAGCTATGCCACAGAATAACATTCAAATTCTGCAATACTTTAATGATATGTACCCATTGTACCCATTTATGTGTGTAGGAGTTGTAAGTGCACATTGTGATGAAACTACAAGGGTACATATTGCCAAGGTCTAAATAAAACTACTGTACTCATTCATTGTTGCAGGGGGAAAAAACCAGAAATCTCTTTATTACTTAACAGCTAGAGGGAGAATCATGAGAGCTCTTTGTAGAAGCTGCTTCTATCCTGTTTAGATTCTATATAATTCATTTTTTGTTCTGCTACATAAAACTCAAGCTCTGGCAGAACTTAAACATGCCTTATTTGGGATTCTGGACTTGAGCATCTTGGGAGTTTGGATAAAGAACTGAAATCTTTATTCCCATATGGCACCATTGTTGGATCCTCAGGCTTAACTTTGTATTCTGTTTCATGCTTTCAGCCTGATTCAGTGGAAATGGAAAATGTTTGAGAAAATTGTAAACCAAAATGTAACTGTAAATATACTAAAGCAGATGTTAAATATCTTCCCCAATGAACAATATTAGCTGTATTACAGTCAAATTAACAGGTACAGAAAGGAATCTCTCTAAATTGCAAGCTGCTGTCAATGCATCTGTATTGAAATTAAAAGCAGGAAAGCAAAAATGTGAAGAACTTTCTTTTAGTGAATCAATATATTTATGGACCAAGATTCAAGTAATTAATCTGGATATAGTAAAGAGCTTGAACATGATCACTACAGTTCACTGACATATCCATAAAGTAACACAAGAGATCAGGGAAAATACACAGACCAGTTAGATATGATCTCACTAACATTCCTAGCGAATATACAGTGGAAGTGAAGAACAGATTTGAAGGACTAGATTTCATAAACAGAGTCCCAGAAGAACTATGGACAGAAGTCCGCGACATTGTTCAGGAGGCGGCAACAAATTACGTCCCAAAGAAAAAGAAAACCAAGAAGGCATGATTATATGATTCTATGATCAGTACCCCCACCTCATTGGCTATACTAGCTGGGAGTCCTGGGAACTGTATTCCAACCATATATGGAGTGGCCTTCCTGTTTCTTCACTGGTAGAAGCTGAAATTCTTCACGAACATGTATAAAGAGACTAAATAATCACAGCTACATGGAGACATAGCAAATAACTGCACTTAGTGAAGCTGGGCCATGGTAAAGCCTAAGGTCAAACTCACAGATGTGGGCGTAGTAACTAGGGATAGATAGCAGTGTCAGTTTCATTTTATTTCATATCCATTCTCACATTCACACATTTTCCAAGTGCATTTCAGTTAATAAATTATTATCCAAAAAATTAACCAAAGAAAGTCTGAGCCCATCTCTGTTAAATAATGTGACTATTTTTATTTTTATTTTTTTCATTCACTCCATATCAGCAGATATTGATTTAACCAAATTAAAACAGTCTAAAATCATATTATATTATATAACTGCCAGCTGAGTGGAGTCAGTTTCACATGACACATTGTTCACCTGAAACAATTTTAACTCCTTGTTGTGCAAGTATTGCATCAAACCATGTTGTTTCTCATTTATGATTTCAGGGAGTGTATTTTGGTTTATGGAACTTTTAAGATCCATAAGTACTGGATGCTTCTATAGAAACATACAATAATAGACTCATAGAGTTGGAAGAGATCTCATGGGCCATCCAGTCCAACCCCCTGCCAAGAAGCAAGAAAATCACATTCAAAGCATCCCCAGCAGATGGCCATCCAGCCTCTGTTTAAAAGCCTCCAAAGAAGCAGCCTCCACCACACTCCAGGACGGAAAGTTCCATTTCTGAACAGTTCTTATAGTTAGGAAGTTCTTCCTCATGTTCAGGTGGAATCTCCTTACCTGTAATTTGAAGCCATTGTTCTGTGTCCTAGCTTCCAGGGCAGCAGAAAACAAGCTTCCCTATGACTTCCCCTCACATGTTTATGCATGGCTACCATGTCTCCTTTCAGCCTTCTCTTCTGCAGGCTAAACATGCATTTCTATTTATGCTGCTCCTCATAGGGCTTGTTCTCCAGACCCTTGATCATTTTTGTTGCCCTTCTCTGGGCACATTTCAGCCTGTCAACATCTCCCTTAAATAGCTGAACTGTTAAAAATCTGGATATTTTCCCTGTGGATGCTGCTGCAACTTACAGCTATCCAAAACCATCTTAGCATTTGGAAGTTTGTAAGCAATGGAACAACATGACTGGTTGCCCTTCTGTTGTCAAAGTGGGAAAAATGGAGTAAGTTGGCTTTACAAACATATTATGTTTCCTCTTGGAACATAATACTCCGTAGAATTTTGGAAAAGAAAAAAAAACAAAAATAAAAACC